TAGGATTTAATTCAATATGAAAGTGACCACAGTAGTTCAAATTCTCATGAAGATATTAATCAACTACTGCTCAAATTTAATTTCCAATTGTGAATCATGTTAGCAGCTAAGCAGGATGTGAAGCTGGATGATCTTCTCCTCATTTACTGTTGCCTAAAGTGACCTGTATGTTCAGGTCACACCTTAAGTATGTTCTTGCTGCTGTACAGTCCTTGTACCTGCTCAACATTAAGAAGCATTGGGTTCTAAAGTGTCTCATGTAAGTGCTGAAATATTGTTTTCTGGCTTAACATGAACTGGAAAGAAACATTCTTTTTTTTTTCTCCATGTGAAATTTTAAAATATATAAAGCTTCAATTAAGAAAGCTAAAATTTCAGTAATTTGCATTTTATATTAGTTTTTAAAATATTTATTTCCCCTGTAAAAATGTGTCAATTTAAAAGATAAAATTTTAGCTTCTCATTTAGTTCTCACAAGAATTGTGTTTTTTTTTTTTTAAGAATTTCATCCAATATCACAAATTTAGTATTAAGATAAAATTATCTGCATTTCAAATTATGGAATAATTTCTTGAGGAAAGGATCATGGGGGAAAATGAAGCCACACCCTTAGATTCATAAACTTTAAGACAGAAATGCTTATCTACAATTAAACTTCTGGAAAAATTTACTTATACATTCATTTGGCTCTGAATGATGATGATTGACAAATTTTAAAAGTCTCATTGTATGGAAGTCTCAGCTATGGTACTATCTTCTCTTTTTAAAATCAGGATACTTGGGGGTGGAGACATGGCTCAGTCATTAGGAGCATAGGTTGCTCTTCCAAAGGAACACAGTTTCATTTCCAGTAACAACATGGAAGCCCCAAACTGTATGTAGCTCCAGTTCCATGGAATCTGATACTCTACTTTAGCTTCTACCAGCACCAACCACGTAAGTAGTACAGAGAAATATATGCAGGCAAAACTCCATATATACACAAACTAAAATAAATATTAAACATAATAATAACAAAATATAATAGTAAAATAAAATTAGGACCCCTTTAATGAACAGGTCTTTTCTGATATTGATTCCTAGTGCATACTTGGTATATATTAAGTTTTTTGGTGTATTTCCTATTTATCACTAACAAGTATAAAGGTCATCCACTCTTACTTTATGAAGATTACTGTAAGTTAACACTATTTTCATAATGGCTCTTCATAATTATTTTCTCCAATGCTTTGCATGCTTTCATAGTTATTAAATTCTATAAAACAAAACAAAAACTGCCCATATACCCACAAGGCTTGAGTTACATAGAGTTGTTCTCAGAACAGAATCACACAGTACTCAGTATGATCCACATAGTGCCACACAATGAAGTTCTGATATGTGATTTTACTAAGAAAAGAGGTATGTGGAAAGCCAGGTGTAAAGGAGACAATCAATCCAATGTGGTTCCAGTTCATTGACAGGTAGGGAAGACCAATTTTGGTTTCTTTTCTTTGTTCTTGTTTTTGTTTTGTTTTGTTTGTTTGTTTTCCCTTTTTCTTTATGTTGCTGTTTGAGACAATTACAATTTCAATTCTAAGCTGACGTGAAAATTGCTACATAGAGCACACTGGCCTTCAACTCAAAGAGATCCATGTGCCTCTGCTTCCCAAGTACTTAGAATAAATATGTGCGCCACAATTTCTGACCCAGCGGCATAAATTTTAACATTGCAAAGACAATAGATACAGTTCTTTTTGAAGAAAAACCCTGCATCATTAGAGACTTTTGATATTTTGAGGTAAAACTTAAAGGTGGTAAATCATCTTCACATAAGTAAATAGAGCAGTGAAGTCATGAGTTAAAATGTGCTGTTGAAATGGCCACAAACATGTCAAGAACCCCAATTCCTCAGCCTCATGAGAGTGCCAAGTTCTCCCTAGATTTGGCTCAAATGACCACCAGAAAAGGCTTTCTTAGCTTTGAGTGTGAATCTTGGCTGTGAGTGCTGAAAATGTCTACCATAGCTTTCTCTCCCCAGATGTTTATTGTCTGAAGTCTGCTCTCCCACAGAGACTGCTCCTAGGGATATTAACTAAATCTTCCTCCTTGCTTAGCTGTATAATAGTAAACACCACTTCTTTGTTCAGATGTGTATACCATACTCCCACTCTTCCTTTTCAACTGTAGACAATAAATACACTGAGCATCCAGGGTGCTGCAGCTTCTTTGCCAGAAAGCCCAGTCCACCCAATCCCAGTTTCCCTAGCTCTATCTGTGTTTGCCTTTTCTTCATTCCCTTGCTAGTCCAGTTAGGTGAATCTCTGGAGACATGAAGGAAGTGGAATATCAAACACAAAAGAAAACCTAGGAAGATGAAAAGGGCATCCTTATTCCTCAAAAGGCCATGTCATTCTTCTCATGAATGTTCATACTGATTCCTGACTGTAATCAGTTGAAACAGTATACACATATTTACATGTGCGTGCATGTGTGTGCGTGTGTGGAGAGAGGGAGAGGGAGAGGAGAGGAGAGGAGAGAAAAAGGAGAGAGAGAGAGAGAGAGAGAGAGAGAGAGAGAGAGAGAGAGAGAGAGAGAAAATATGTGTATGTGTGTAGAACCAGAATGTGGAAAACTCCTAATATGGGCTAGGAGAATCATGTGTTATATCATTTGGGTATCATGGCAATAATCATCAGCTCCTTGTTGCTGATGAATGACAGAGGCACAGATATGGTTAATTCATTAAATTGAATCTACATCATAAGAAAGTAGTCTAGACAAGATTTGTACACAGATGCTACTAGGAGTTAGGGCCCAGTGTCCATACCATCTCACATTGCTCAAGGTGGCACTACACACTGGCTCTATGTTTTAGTGAAGAACCTGTAATTCTTCATCAATCTTATTCTAAGGCTTCAAGTACAGAACAGGTCCTGGGCAATGTGTAAAGTCCAGATTTGTTTTATTTAAGTCTAAGCTGGTAGCATGAAAAACACAGATGCAGGTGATTTATTGAGATCATTTATTGTATTCAGCTAAGGAATTCCTAGTGAATGATCCCAGTGGACAGCATGTGTACCATTTATATGGAAGGACCTTAACCTGCAATTCCAACACAGAAGCAGCTCTGCCACAAGAAACTCCCACAAAATAAAACTGATCCTCAAAAGAGCCTGAATCAATCATTTCTAATGGTGCCAGGGACTAAAGAAAGGCTCTTTCAAACCATCATGTTGTTATATCCATTCAATTTATTTTAAAACCTTGAACTTCATAAGGACTGTTCATATGAACATGCTACTTCATAATTACTTATATTCTTTGAGCTTTTGTGAATTTCAGGCCATATATATTTGTTCTTCAGCATGTAATTAACACATCAGTTCCTCTGAAGTAGAAATTCTTTCACATATGAATTAAAACAGTGAGGGGAAAATATCTAATTGCATTTGAAAAGTCAAAGACGAGAGCTAAATAAAAACATCAGTGCAGCTGGATGTTGTGGCTTTATGCCATTGATCCCAGCAGATCTTTGTGAGTCAAGGCTATCCGTCTACATGATGAGTTTCAGGACAGCCATGTTTATATATAGACACCCTGTCCAAAAAAAAAAAAACAAACCAATAATAATAATAATAATAATAAAAATAAAATAAAACAAAAAATTGGTAAGTATGTTTTAAGGCCAATAGGATTAAGCTTCTTCAAAAATATGTTTAGTATGAGTAACTATGTATAATTAACAATACAATGTTTAATAACTTTATTAAACTAAGAATACACATCATCCTAAGTCAGGCTATTAGCATTAATCTTCCATGCTGTGGTTATCTGTTTAGTGAAAGCTCTAGCACAGTTGATCTGAGCAAGCTGCCTGCCTCTGAATAACGAATTACAAGTATAACTCCAAGTAGCAGAATGTGTTTTGAAAAGAGGATGCGCTTTGCTTTTTTTCTTTCTGGATAATGAGCTCTAAGACTGAAGATAAGGTTCCTTTGTTTCTGTGCCTGTACTTAAAGGTAACTTGGGATTTGCAGAACAGGCACTGTGCTAATCTTTCATCTGCTGCAAATTGTCCTCTAAAATATCACCTTGCTTTGCACAGATTCATAGAAAATCAGAGAGTTGTATGGGGTTTTCAACACAGAGTGGCAAAAGCATGACCTGAATATGCTTTTGTGACGACAAAGTATTGGTAACCACCAGCATGATGCCCAGCTTTCTGCAAAAGTACTATTTGGGAAATGGAAGTTTAACACAGATATTTGCAGCTCCCCTGCTAATATTTTAAATGTATAAATGCATGAAAATAACTTCTTTTTATCCTTAAGCACATGTTAAATGTAGTTTCTCTTTATCTCTTCCTGTAGGAACTAGTACAAAATTCAGTGAGCTCTCCATGCTATTTATTCAGTTGTGACCAATATTTCCCCAAATGTCTAACACTTTCATTCAGTTTTACAGTGCCATTTCATTATCTGTAATAGAGACTCTTTAACCTTTCTATTAAAGTGTGGATTAGAAAACATCTGTTGTTTAACTATTTATAGTGGTTCATGAAGCTCAGCTTTTATGTCCCAGGTTTATTAACTTAGAATATTTGTATCTGCTCCTCCACATGTGTAAAAACATTCAAGAAAATGCCACGATGAAAATTTTAGCAAATAATTTCCTTCATTGCTCCCTTCTCCTTTTTTTTACACTATCCTGCACATGCACACACACATACTCACTCACTCACACTCATACACACTTATTGTGCATTTCCTTTTGTCCCTAGTGTTATTTAAAAATTTACAGAAACCAATTCTTTTGTCATAAACTCTCAAGCATTTGAAAATTTTAGATATATATTTCACCTTGAGAATCATTTTGCCATGACAGTACTTTTAACTGTATTTCTAAGGGTCAAAATTGATTGGAAGGCCTTGGCAGTACAGTAGCATGCTGCATAATTTTGTACCTTCATAATTAACTTGAATCTGAGAAATGATAGCATCATAAAAAAGTCAACTCACCACTTCTTCATGTCTGCATTTCCTCACATTAATTCCATTTATCTGAAATGAAAAGAAATCCTCAGTTTCACATAGTGTATTGCAAATTGGCTTTTGTTTGCATCCACAAAAACAATAATTAGATGTATACCTGTAGAATTGCATCTCCGATGAAAAGCAGTCCTGACAGCTCTGCTGTGAATAAGAAGAATTGAATACACCTTGACATCAAGTCAAGTAAGTAAATTTGTCAAGTAAGTAAAGCTTTTTATTTTAACTAAGGATAAAACTGTAAACACATTATAAGTGTTTTATATGGCTAGCATTTTTAAAACCCACAAAGCATGTAAACTCAATAATATGGTTTAGCTATTTCCAATTGCTAAAATAGGCAGACATTTCTTCTTGGTTCTAGCACTGTATGTCTTTATAGCCCTTGAAATATGGTCAGTCCCCTCCCAACATTTAGCTTTTCTGTTTTTCAACAAGCCAATTTGTGCTGACCAAATATTCTTGGATGTGTGGTTTTCCACTGTAGCATGGTTGACTTTTCAGGTGATACACTCTGGGGATGAATAGTTGGATTTGGGAAAAGTTGGAAAAATGAATATGAATGTGATCAAAACAAAGCATGTTATTTACAGTTATCAAAGACTTATATGTGTGTGTGTGTATGTATGATGTTTACGTGTTTATGTATATATGCACATTCATTAAAAGTTGATCACTCTTCTTAATGGGTTACCAGTTTTCTTTATGCATTTATAGTATGATATCTCTATGCAAATATCTGAGAATTAAGCTTTCAGTTCCATGCTTTATGGGAAATACTACCTTGTTTTCCCAATAATATTCAATAAACACTTGCTTTGTATATTCCTGATAGTTTTTGGATAAAGTCTCACAGGAAGTGAGTAAAACTAAGAAAAGTGATTATATGTGGATTTGTCCATAAAATGTGACTTGATTTTTGTGTCTTTAACCAATGGTTCAGAAGCTGTTCATATATAATCATTTGAACTATTTTCATCAATCACTTTTCCATTTTTGTCCTGTCGGAGAAGAAAGAGGAAGTAAAGAATCAGATTTAATCTCTCTCTATGTGAGACTGGGGATCCAGGGGAGCCATTTACATAGCAATCAATGAGCATGGGATTACAGAGCACTGGCCACTAAAGAGTTAGCTAAGCATATTACCTCTTTGTTCCTTGGAGATTTTGGAAATGACAACTGGAATGCTATGTTCTGCACCTCCCTAGAAAGAGACAGTCATATATCATATTTTTAAGTCAGATATTGGCCAAAATATTAAAAATAAATAAATAAATAAATTGCAAGGTATAAATAGTACATTTCATGGATACAAGGTAGAATTAAAATAAATCTGTAGAATTTCTTTTAAGTAAGTATCATTTCCATGAAGCTTGGCTAAGTATTTGTAAGACTTGTAAGGATGATTAATAATTAGTAAAAATTGACTATAAAATTTTTATTTCTCAAATAAAATAAGTAACATCAGTAGGGGCATTATCTTCAAAATCCATTATAGGAAAGCAAGCCATCTTGACATTTGTTATTTAGGATTACGTGCATTAGATATTTATACATTTCAATTCTCTCATTAATTTATTCTATTCTTCCAAACAGGCACTCTTAATTAATTCTGAATGCTAAATAACCAGACAGACCCTTGACTTGAATAGATGGATAAATAAAAGGGTCTAAACATGATGGGAACAGAACCAGCTTTATTTCCTAATTAGTATCAGACTCCCATGTGAAAGGATAGGCAGGTCAATTGTCAGCCAAGAATCCAACAGCAGTCCTTGATTACTGACTCAAATATGAAAGGAGGAAAGTACAACAAGGAATCAAATTTTTGATAAAAGAAAATAAAATAAATTCTTAGAATAACTGCCAGAAAAATACTGTTTCATCACAACAGTGTAAGGAGTTTGGACATGGTAGTTGAAAAACCAAGTACATATCTAAACAAGTGAAGTTCTGTGTAGAAAAGGAGTTAAAGGGGGCATTTAAAACCTCTGGTGCTGCTTTGGATTTAGAATAAATAACTCCCTAATCTATCCATCAGCATAAATACAGCATTTCAGAACATGTTTACTAATGAACATTCATTTCCAACACTAAGTAGATATGAGATAGAAAATCACTTTTTATTTTTTTAAATTTTTACTTTTTTTTTTTTACTGCCAAGAAGGGGAAAATGAGAAAGAAAAAGTATAATCTTGCTTAAGTTGACTTTAGCCACTAATCAACTTATTTCATAATATCTCTATGTACCCAATCTCCGCCAAATGAAAAGAGAGGAAGTATCATAGACTATTATGGTCTAAACTAGGACTCACTACTTAACCTGTATGTCTAAAGTGTCAATCCTGTCTAAGGTGTGTTGATAAAGTATTGGAAAAAACTGACAATAGAGTATTGTTGGCATTGTTGGCTATTGAATTTTGGACATGGACTGCAAAATGATGAGTTGAATGGACACTTGAACATTCAGTGCACAATGGAGACCATACACTGCATAGTGGAGACTATAACAGGTATACCTGAAAGGTCATCTACAAGCAGTATGATCTGGAGACTATGGAAGGGAGGCCCTGTGGATAATTTGAATAGAGTGCACAGTAGAGACCACAACAATGAGGTTAGGGGGTCATCTGTACACTACATGTCAGAACACCAGAGTGGACACTGCAGTGAGGTACTTCTCTCATCAGCTGCTAGGTCAGGGACAGCTGGATTTCACTTCAAATAATGCATGTTTGGTAGTTTGAGATAGTGACCCAAATAGACATGCTGGTACCCTTCCACTAATGTATTTAAAAGAAGTTTTTTGCAGCTAAAACTCAGGATCCATGTGTTGAAGCAAAAAAAAAAAAAAAAAAAAAAAAAAAAAAAAAAAAAAAACAACTTGCTATGGGATAATGCTCTTGCATACTGGTTTAATAAAATGCTGATTGGCCAGTAGCAAGGCAGGAAGTATAGGTGAGGCAAGCAGACTAAGAGAATTCTGGGAAGAGGAGGGGCAGAATCAGGAGTTGCCAGCCAGACACAGAGGAAGAAAGATCAAGGAAGAACTGAGGAAAGGTACTAAGCCATCTGGCTAAACATATATAAGAATTATGGGTTAATTTAAGTGTAAGAGCTAGTCAGTAATAAGCCTGAGTCAATGACTGAGTTTTAATTAATATTAAGCCTCTCGTTGATTATTTTATAAGCAGCTGTGAGACTACAGATGAGAGAGATTTGTTTGGACCACACTGGGCCAGGTGGAACCAGAGAAACCTTCTGACTAGAATTTTGAACATTGAAGATACTTTGGATGCCTTAAGGAGACAGAAATTTTTGTTGTTGTTGTTGCTGTTGTTGTTGTTTTTCAAGACAGGGTCTCAGTGTAGTTCTGGTACCTATCCTGGATCTCACTCTGTAGACCAGGCTGGCCTTGAACTCACAGAGATCCATCTGGCTCTGCCTCGCAAGTACTGGAATTAAAGGCATGTGCCACCACCAACTGGTAAGACTAAACTTTTAAAGATTTTTAAGGATGATGGTACTTTAAGATTATTTATACTACATAAATGTCTTTCTGAGATGTCTTTCTATATGCTGTGAATATGTGTTGCTCTGATTGGTTGATAAATAAAGCAAGGGAGCTTAGAAGCAGGCAGGAAATCTAAGGAGAGAGACATGAAGAAGAAAGGCAGAGGTGTGATAGATGCCAGCCACCACCAAAGGAGAAGAAAGATGCCAGCAGACTGCTAATGCCATGGAATATGTTACAAAACATATATTAATAGAAATTAATTAGTTTAAGATACAAGAGCTTGACAGCAAGAAGTCTGACCCATAGGCCATACAATTTGTATATAATATAATCCTCTATGTGTTTACTTGGGATGAAGTGACTTCAAAATGCAGGAGGGAGAGATTTGTCCTGACCTCAGGGCTAGGCAGGACCTGAGAAAACTTGACTACAAAGGCTACATGCTAAAACCTGCCTAATATTGACTCTACTGGCAATGTCTTCACAGTTGTCTAACACAGAATTTTCTTTCTGCTATTCTTTGTTAATACATTAACTTCCTTTTAGCAGATCTGACTATGACTCCAGTGTGTGTCAACATTGACTATTTAACTGAAGAAAACAAGGAAAAAAATATGTTTCTTTGGCTTAATTTCACTGTCCTATAATCTGTTCTGTATGTGTCCCTTGCCTGAATTGATGACAAATACACATAAAGTATATTTTAACACAAATATTTTGAATATTGAGATTCCTGGTACTACACACACTGTCATTGTATCCATTCATTTTCACAAAGTTGACAAAAGGTTATAATCATAAATTCAAGATGCTCCTTTCCTAACATAGATAGCAGGAACTAGGTTAAATGTCTTTAAATATTCACCAAAGACAACATGCTAAGTAAGTAAATACTAACTGAGGAAATGTGATTAACATATTTCATTTAATAATTCTGAAAGTCAGATTGATAAAAGAATTAATGTAGTTGGGTTAAGTCTTCAGTATTCACATACAAACTAATTCACTCATTTTTATCAGTCATTTCAATGATGATAAACTGCATAAGTGATACAGCTTTACAAGTAAACACTGAAAATACTGTACATATTAAAAAGCTCTTTAATATCATGTTCAAAACTTTGAATTAATATATTAAATTTAGAAATCTGTTTAACAAGTGGAAATCAAGATAAATGATAAATATAGAATACAGTCCATCTTCACTTGTTCCCATTTCTCCTCCATAGAAACTTGTTTCCATTCTACCCATCAATTTTTCATGCTGCTAGAGGAGAAAGGAAAGGTTCTTGCAATAAGCATAGTTCATATTCATGGGAAGCTTCATAAATAAAGCTTCCAAGTTCTACTTAACATTAGGTAAGGTCCCCAGTCCTTTCTTGTTAAATCTAAATAAGAAGGTAATGATAGTCATTTCTATAAGAACATCCCAGGTCACAAACTACTCTAAACATTACAGAGCCATTCTTGTGTGTTATGAGTCACCAACATTTTAATGTACACAAAGGTTTAGTCTTTAGCTCAGCCTTTGAAAAGATGGACTGAAAAGATGGCTACCTTTATGCTTAATCCAAATCCTCCTACTGTCTGCCTTCTGATCGTCACCGTTCTTTCCTGAAAGAAAGAGATTTAAAAGTGATAAGTGTTTCTTTACACTAAATACATTTTCCTTGTAGTTTTTTTTCAATTGCTGTTTAAAATTTAGAGAAAAATATTTAACAGCCAAAGAAACTTCAAATTTGCAATTAATGGAATGTTTTATAGTTTTAAATCCAAGGCTAATAATTTATTTGCCCAAATAAATGCTACTAAATTAATAATCTCTGAAATATTCTTTCAATGATATTTTTAGAACAATTTTAGAATTTTTTTATACTCTTATTTTCATCTTGTACATTCTTGGGTAGCCTTACAGTATCTTACTGCCAGTGATAAGTATTGCACTTCTGGGGCCTTGTCTGCAGCACCAAGTCATAGATTGGTAATTTAAGAGCTAAGCTGCAAGGACTCCATAGTTCAGAACTTCAGAAGGCCATGTCAGGCCTTAGAGCTACATGATGAGGAATTTGTATTCATATCTTTAGTTTGGGAAAAAGTACTTACATAATAATAATAGTGGGATTACTAATGTACACCACTAGTACCCTATGGTGTAAGCAGGAACTCAGCTATAAAACTACCAATTCAGAGACCTTGGTATGAGCATATTGAGCACATCTGGACATATTCTGAAATTTTCAATCAGAAAAATCAGTTTTTTATGTTTTAAGGAAACAAATTCTGCATTATATATTTTCTGCTTATGGTTTCAAACATTTAAATATTATTTATGCAAATTTTACAGGTGTATCATAGGTATATGAACTTGAAATATAAAACACTATTTATTTTACTAATATCACTAGTTAATAATATCATTAACTCTTTAATATTAATAAGCCTATTGCTGTAGTCCTTGCCTATTGTTGAGTCCAAAGTCCAAAATGATTAAAACATGCTGTCTTAAAATTTACCTTGGAAATGCCTGTACAATAAAAAATTAAAATGACCATATCATTATTTATTCACAAAATGAAATTAAAATAAACTACATTTTTATTTGAAATGCCCTTTTCTTTAATAGCTCAAAATCAGTCTATTAAAATTAAATAATCTTTGATTATTTCTAATTGAAATGTTCATTGGATGGTAGAGAATCATTGAAAATGATAATGGTAATGAAGTTGGAGAATGCATCAGTGGCTATAGTAGCCATGATTTCATGTTTGGCAAGTTATTTAAGCCCTGTGAGCCACTATTTCCCAATGTGAGAACAGCTTGTAGGTAAAACCCTAAAGCAATTTTGTTTTTAGTTTAATATCTACAAATGAGCTGATAGAGATAAGAACCTGATGAATATTAAAACACATAATATTTTGCATAGGAAATCTTATAGCTGCCAGTAAATAACAAACTAGTATCTTTTACACCTTAGATTCAAGCATTTATACTTCTGGAGTTCAAATATTACAGCACTGAGATAACAATCAGTAATTAGTGTTATTTGTTCATATAAGGCAGGCAAGCAAATTGCTGTTACAATACAACCCATGAAACAAACAGAACATTTTGAAATTGGGAATAACTTGCTTAACTCTTTTTCAGTAAAGATTAAATACTTGATTTCCCCCCAAATAATTAGAAAAAAAATCAGCAGTTTAAAATGTCAGACAATAGTTATTAGCTATATTAAAATTAAATTTTCCATCAGAGAAAATACATTTAAACCAGTAAATGCATAACCTTCATTTTCTAGATTTGATCCATAGACACAGGGCCATTTGGTCTGTCATATTTGTTTATCTGATACTAACACAGAGCTTAGCAGGAGAGTTAAAAGTTTATGAAGTGGCATGTATTCTCTTCTTCAAGTTTCACGTCCCTTCTTTATTGGTGAATATTTAGAATAAACTCTAAATTACATGCAAACTGCTAACCAGAAGAAGAGTTGTGAGAGATAACAGAAAGAGGCTGCAGACTCCCCAACAGCATTTATTCTAATATTTTAAAAAAATATCAACATATACACATACACACATATCCACACCCAACACCCAATGCACACACACCCATGCATGAACACCTACATCAGTACATGCGAACATGTGCACACACACACACACACACACACACACACACACACACACACACACACACTCCCACTGCCTATTCTCTAGGCTGTCTGTGTGTTACTATTAAGAAAGGTAATAGGAGAAAGAGGACAAGTAAATTACCTGTATTCTAAAAAGTAAATCTAATTTGGTTACTTTAGGCAGCAGACAGGAAACATAGAAAGAGAAATATCTTCAAGTTGGGCATATTGCCGATATTAATATTCCAAAAAATTAACCCTGTCCCTCTTTCTACCTCTACTTCCTGTGCTCAGCTCAAAAACTAGAGAACACACAGAACTCAGGTGAAAGCATGTTTAGTTATATCTCCAGTATCCCAAATGCTGTGGCAAATTTTTATAATTTAAAAACCAGTATAGTTTTGATTTCTTCATTTATACAACACAAAATATATTCTGGTGCCCCTACACACATACACACACACACACACACACACACACACACACACACACACACACGCACACACGCACGCACACACACACACACACAGATATGTATATATTATATATATATATAATATATATATAAATGTGTGTATAACACATATGAGTTTGAAGTCCTCCTGTTCCTTACAAAGAACAGAAAGTTTTACCAAAATTGAAAATCTGACCTTGAAAGCTCCATATCCTGCCAAAAATTGTTTTATTATACAGGATTCTTTTGGCTATTGTGGGTTTTTTGTTTTTCCATTTGAAGTTGAGTATTGTTCTTTCCAGGTCTGTAAACAATTGTGTTGGTATTTTGATGGGGATTGCATTGAATCTGTAGATTACTTTTGGCAAGATTGCCGTTTTTATTATGTTAATCCTACTAATCCATGAGCATGGGAGATCTTTCCATTTTCTGATATCTTCTTTATTTTTTTCTTCAGGTATACTTAAAGTTCCTGTCATACAGGTCCTTCGCTTGCCAAGTTAGAGTTACCCCATGGTATTTTACATAATTTGTGGCTATTGTAAAGGGTGATGTTCCTCTGATTTCTTTCTCAGCCCATTTGTCAATTGTATATAGGAGGGCTACTGATTTTTTGGAGTTAATCTTTTATCCTGCTACATTACTGAAGGTTTTTATCTGCTGTAAGATTTTATTGGTCAAATTTTCAGGGTCACTTATGTATGCGATCATGTCATCTGCAAATAGTGAAAGTTTGACTTCTTCCTTTCCAATTTGTATCCACTTGATCTCCTTTTGTTGTCTTATTGCTCTAGCTAGACCTTCAAGTACTATATTGAATACATACTGACAGAGTGGTAAGCTTTGTCTTTGTCCTGATTTTAGTGGAATCATTTTGAGTTTCTCTCCATTTACTTTGGTGTTGGCTGTTGGTTTGCTGTAAATTGCCTTTATTATGTTTAGGTATGTTCCCTGTATTCCTGATCTCTCCAGGATCTTTATCATGAATAGGTGTTGAATTTTTTCACAGGCCTTTTTGGCATCTAATGAAATGATCTTTTTTTTTCTTTCAATTTGTTACATGGTGTATTACATTGACAGACTTTCATATATTGAACCAAACTTGCATCGCTGGGATGAATCCTACTTGATCATGGTGGATAATTGTTTTGATGTGTCTTGAATTTTGCTTGCCAATATTTTATTGAGTATTTTTGCATCAATGTTCATAAGGGAGACTGATTTGTTCTCTTTCCTTGTTGCCTCTTTGTTTGGCTTGGGAATCAGAGTAACTGTAGCCTCATAGAAGGAGTTTGGTAACATTCCTTCTGTTTCTATTGTTTGGAACAATTTAAAGAATCTTGGTATTAACTCTTCTTTGAAGATCTGGTAGAATTCTGCATTGAAATGATCTGGTCCTGCAAATTATTTGGTTGGGAGTCTTTTAATGGCTGTTTCTATTTCCTTAGGGGTTATTAAATAGTTTATCTGTTCTTGATTTGACTTAGGTATGTGGTACCTATCCAGAAAATTGTCCATTTCTTTTAGATTTTCCAATTTTGTGGAGTACAGCTCTTTGAAGTACGACCTGATGATTCTCTAGATTTCTTCGTTGTCAGTTGTTACATCTCCCTTTTCATTTCTGATTTTGCTAATTTGGATGCTCCCTCTCTGCCTTTTGGTTAGTCTGGAAGGGCTTGTCTATCTTGTTGATCTTCTCAAAGAACCAACTCTGTTTCATTGATTTTTGTATTGTTCTCTTTTTTTCTATTTTATTGATTTCAGCTCACAATTTGATTATGTCCTGGCATCTATTCCTCCAGCTTTGCTTCTTCTTGTTCTAGAGCTTTCAGGTGTGCTGTTAAGTCACTAGTGTGAGATTTCTCCAACTTCTTTATGTGGGCATTTAGTGCTATGAATTTCCCTCTTAGCACTGCTTTCATACTGTCCCATAAATTTGTGTTTTGTATATTGGTTTTCATTGATCTCTAGGAAGTCTTTAATTTCTTTATTTCACCCTTGACCCATTGGTGATTCAGTTGAGCATTATTCACTTTCTATGAGATTGTAGGCTTTCTGTAGTTTTTGTTGTTATTGAAATCTAATTTTAAGCCATGGTGGTCTGATAGAATATAGGAGGTTATTCCAATTTTTTTTTAATATCTGTTGAGGTTTGCTTTGTCAGCGAGTATGTATTCGATTTTAGAGATGGTTCCTTGGGTTGCTCAGAAGAAGGCATATTCTTCAAAAATACATTTGGTTGTAAAGTCTGATGAGTTAAGCCAATATGTTTTATATATTTTATAGCTATCTTGTCTTTGAAATTTGGACTTAGGATATGTTGCTTTGGAAAGGAGGGTCTGTTTTTGTTTCCACAGGAAGCAAGACTATGGATTTATTCCACATTAAAATGGATCAGATTTGATCAAGTCAGATCTTCTAAACCTTAACAGATGGTACCTATCAACAAAGGTTATAGCCAGTCTTCCCAGGACTTGACCATTATCTTGAATTATCTCAGGATCCCCATAAGACTACCAGCACCCACTG